TAGGTGTAGATGCATGTGTATATACATGTTTATGTATATGTGCATATATATATATATATATACTAGAACCATCGCGCGCGCTTCGCGCGCGCTCAGGTTCTAGCAGGCCCCAGGCCTTGACGAATTAACTGCTCCACTGAAGTAGTGGACCACAGTCCACGCATACCAATCTGCATTCCGAAAGGCCTTCGAGGAAAACGGTTGTGTAGGGGGGCGGAGGCCGTATGAATCGGGTTACCAGAAGGCCTTCTGGGAGCATGGGTTTGGGGCGTCTTGGGGAGCCTGTTGGGGCGTGCCGTCGTCGTCGTCGTCGTCGTGTTGCTACGACCCATTCCCGAACCTGACCTTGGGGGTGGCCTAACCTGGCGCAGCCCCGATTGGCAACAGACCCGACACGTTCCGTCCAAACTGAACGCCAGGTTCGCACGCGCCCAGCACGAAGGGACGGTAACTGCGGTCGCCAGTTGTCTCGCGCCGAGTCCGTACGTTTTACTAAGGGGACGGGCTGATGTTTGCCTCTTGAAGGCCCTCTTGGGGCCCTCATCGGCCATCTTCAAGCCATCTCGGGCCCTCTGGAGCCTCGCTGAAGCTGTCCTGGGGCCCAGTAGGGAGCGCTGAGAGCCCGGAAACCATGTTCCCGGAGAGGCTTCCGGGAACATGATTTCGAACGGGGCCCTCTTGGGCCTCCCTGAGGCCGTCTTGGGGGCCTCCTGGGCCGGCTTCGGGGCCTCTTGGGCCGTCTCGGGGGGTTCGGTCAGCCCCAGAGGCCGACACTTTTGGGCCGTCTGGGTCTCTCTTAGGCTGTCTTGGGGCTCCTCGGGGGCGTCTGGGGCACTGCGAAGACGAAGCCAGCAAGTATGCTGAAAATGTACGTTTTACGAAGGAAATGGGCAGATTCTTGCCTCTTGAAGGCCCTCTTTGGGCCCTCATCGGCCATCTTCAAGCCATCTCGGGCCCTCTGGGGCCTCGCTGAGGCTGTCTTGTGGGCCTCTTGGGCGTCCTCGGAACCCAGAAATCATGTTCCCGGAGAGGCTTCCGGGAACATGCTTTCGATCGAGGCCCTCTTGGGCCTCCCTGCGGCCGTCTTGGGAGCCTCCTGGACGGGCTTTGGGCTTTGGGGCCTCTTGGGCCGTCTCGGGGGGTTCGGTGAGCCCCACAGGCCGAACCTGTTGGGCTGTCTGGAGCCCTCTTGGTGGGTCTCTCTTGGGCTGTCTTGGGGCCTTGGGGCTCCGCCGGGGCGTCTAGGGCACTGTGAAGACGAAGCCAGTGAGCATGCTGAAAATTTACGTTGTACAAAGGAACTGTGCCGATGTTTGCCTTTTGAGGCCCTCAGGGGCCCTCTTGGGGCTCTCTTGGGGCCCTCAGGAGACCACTTGTGGCCTCTTGTGGCCTCTTCGGAGACTGAGGGCAGGAATTTTCGGCGAGGGGGCCACGATCCTCGTGAGGGGTGCCAAAAAATGGCCGGGGGGGGCCCCCATGGCGAGTCGAGGCAGCTGGCCAGAGGCCCCCGGCCCCGTACCCCTATATATATATATATATATATATATATATATATACATACAGACATACATACAGACAGGCAGGCAGGCAGACAGACAGACAGACAGAAAGACATGCATGCATGCTTGCATACATACGTATATTTATGTATATATAGATACATACATACATACATACATACACATACACATACACATACACATACACATACACATACACATACACATACACATACACATGCACATGCACATGCACATGCACATGCACATACACATGCACATACAGATACACATACACATACACATACACACACAAATATACATATATATATATATATATATATATATATATCGTACGTCGTCCAAGGCGCCTCGGAAGGCGCAGAATACTCCTCCAAGGCGCGGAATCATGTTCCCGGACCGCCTTCCGGGAACATGATGGGGATGATCTCCTGAGGGCCTCCAGTGGGCCTCTTGGGGGCCTGTTGGGCTCTCCTGGAGGCGTCTTGGGGCGCGCTCAGGGTCACTCTTGGGGGCCTCTTTGGGGCCTCTTGGGGCCTCGCGGGGCCCTCTTGGGGCCCGCTGGGCTCGCTTAGGCAGTCTTGAAGCCCTGTCGGGGCTCTCCTGGAACCGTCTTGGGCGGCTCCTGGGCCATCTTGGGGCTCTCCTGGGCAATCTTCGGACGCTTTTGGGGGTCTCTTGGGCCGTCTTGGGGCGGTCTTGGGGGCCTCTTCGGCCGTCTTGGAGCGGTTTTGGGAGACTGTTGGACGGTCTGGGAGCGTCGGAACCCCGAAAAAGCGAGAAGGCCCAACACCTCAAAAAAACAATAAAAATCAACGATGTTGGCTTGTCGGCGCTCTCTTGGGAGGCCTCTTGGGATGCCTTCGGGGCCTCATGGAGCTCTCTTGGAACGTCTTCGAACCTTCCTGGCCATTCCTGAGGCTATCTATGCGCGTCTTGGATCGCTCGCGGGCCGTCTTGGGCGGTCTCGAACTGTTCCTGGCGGTCCCAGGGGCCCTCCGGGACGCTTCGGACGCTCCCGGGGGCGCCCTGCACCCCCCATGGAGATTACAGGCAGCGCCCCGGGCCGCCCCCGGGCCCTGCTCCGATATATGTATGTGTGTATATATATATATATATATATTTATTTATAGGTTCGCCAGTGCGGACCCCAAAGAGTCTGGTATTGCACTGTGGAGATGAAGGCAATATAGTGTAAGCTGTATGGTGGACGTTGTGTCGGGTAAGCTATTTGGTGCGGGCTATGGCGGTGAAAACTCTGCAGTGTAAGCTATGTGTTAGCTATGTCGTGGAAGCTATGTGATGCGAACTGGAGGTGAAAGCTACGGGGAGCAAACTAGGTGATTTGATGTGGGACGTGATGTAAGGTAAGCTACGTTGTGTGAGCTATGCCGTGCACTCTACGTGGTGCAAGCTACATGGTGAAAGCTACGTCGTGCAAGCTCAGAGCACAGGGCGCCCACGAAGCGGCATGAGCGGCAACGTGGCGCAGCCTCGGGAGACCCGCCCGGCGCGCGGGGCTCCCGCGAGGCGCGAATGAGGTGGCACAGGGCGGCAACGGCAAAATGTGGCGAGTCCTCGGCGTACTCGCCCAGCGCACGGGGCGCCCACGAGTTGGCACGGACGGCGATGTGGCGGCGCAACCTCGGCATGCTCGCTCCAGCGCAGGGGACGCCCCGACCGAGGCGGCACGGCCGGCAACGTGACGAAGCCTCTGCATACGCCCCCAGCGCACGGGGCGCCCACGAAGCGCCCACGAGGCGGTACGGGCGGGTGCTATGCGGCGTACGCTGTGTGGTGCAAGCTGTGCTGGGGAAGCTGCGTGGAAAAAGTATGACGTGTAGGCTAGGCGGTGTGAGCTGATGGTGGACGCTATGGGGTGCAAGCTATGTCGTGTCTGCAAGCTATGTTGCGCACTGCTGCAAGCGGCGTGCGCTGTGCTGTAAGCTGTAATACATATATATATATATATAAATATATATATATATATATGTATATATCTACGTGTATCTGTATAGGTACATGTGTCCGGTGTCAGCTATATGATCTGACCTGTGCGGTGACAGCTATGCCGTGTAAGCTTAGAGCACGTGGCGCCCACGAGGCGCCCACGCAACGTGGCGAACACCCAACATACCCCCCAGCGCAAGGAGCGCCCACGAGGCGGCATGAGCGGCAACGTCGAGAAAACATACTATACCCCCAATCGCGCGGGGCGCCCACGAGGCGGCACGGGCGGCAACGCGACGCAACCATGAACAATCCCAAGCGTGGTACACTCCCGAGGCGCCCACAAGGCGGCACCCCACGAAGCAGCACGGGCGGCAGCGTGGCGAAAACCCGACACACCCATCCGGTTCCTGACGTAACAGAAGCAAGAACCTCTAAGGGCAAGCACCGTTCGGGGAATACACATATACACATAAACATACCGACTGCATCAGATCTTCAATGTTCTGCACGTCGTAGGCAGCACCCTACACGTATGAAGCAACAGGGACAACATTTCGGGAATAGCCCACTTTGGGGGGTCCACGCTGGCACACATGATTTGTTCTGCACGTTGCTGCACTGCCTTGCATTGCGTTGCAATGCTGTGCGTTGAAACATGTCGCGTTGCATTGGCAAAAAGACCCCTAAGTGGGGACGCGTCCCGTTTTGTTTTGTTCACACACACACACCAGGTCTGAGGGAAGGGGGCGGAACAGCAGCACGAGGAGGAGGAGGAAGAGGCTCGTGTTGCCGTCAGCGAGCGACTCTCCAGACAGGGCTCTCGCAGGAATCAGAAAATCGCCAATTACTGAATGTGCAGAGGACACCTGTATACCACCACCATGGCTGGCAAAGGCTACCTTGGGCCCTGGCTTGGTGTGCGCGCCCGCCTGACCAAGACCAAGAAGGGCTGGTGCTCCCCGGGCCCAAGATGGCCCTGACCAGGCGCCGGTGCCGACTCGGTGGTGCACAGGTGCCCTGTGCGGACTAAAAACCCGGAAGGAAAACCAAATGAACCTGGCCCCTCCTCGGCCGTCAAGAGACTGGCGGCGAAAACAGACCGGGCAGCAAGAGCTGCAGCTTGCGCTGAGGGGGATGACGAGGAGGATAATCACGGAGGGCTGGGAGGATCGGGAGGAGAAGCAGGAGGAGGGGGACGGCGGCGACGGCGACAGGGGGCGAGGAGCAGAGATAGGTGAGGAAGGGCAGGGAGGAGGGGAGCAGGAGGGAGGGAGCGAGGGAGGGAAGGGGAGGAGGGGAAGGGGAGGAGGGAGAGCAGGGGGGGGTGAGAATGCAGGGGGAGGGATCGTGCAGAGGGGAGAAAGAAAGGGACTCCGAGGGGTCAAGGTGATGGAAGTGGCGAGGAAACGAAGTTGAGAGCAAGGGATGAAGGGGATGAACGGCAGGGAGGACAGAAGGGAGTGAAGGAGGGAGGCAGGAAGGAGAGAAAAGGTGCCCTCTCAGAGAGGGTGCTGCTCAGAAGCCCTCCGCAAGCTGCACCTTCTCGAACTGCTTCTTCTTGAGCACGAACACCAGCTGCGCCAGGAAGATCGAGATGGAGAGGCCGCAGTACGCATACACGCGGTTCATGTCCTGCAGCGTGACCTCTTTGTCTTCCTGACCGAAGCCGCCCACGTTGGGGTTCGTGGTGATCTGCTCGTCCTTCTTCACGCTCTCGCCGACCTCGACCACGACCGTGGCCCCCTTGCCAATGAGCGAGTCCACCACCGTGCCGTCCGCCTTCGTGATGACCACCTTCTCGCCCGGGACGATCTCGGTCACGGTGCCCTCAGCCGCCGCGGTGTACATGTTGACGTTGCTGAGGTTGCCCTCCGGGTAGACCTGCCCGCGCCCCCGGTTGCCTCCGAAATAGAACTCGTACTTGTTGAACACGATCTCGGGGGTCTTGTTGGGGTCGGGGGCGAGGATGGGGAGCACCATCGTCTCGTAGATCTTCCCGGGCACCGGCCCCGCGACGACGATGTTGGGCTTGTCCTTGCTGTATGGCGACCAGGCGAGCCCCTTCATCTGCTTCTTCAGCGCCTTGGGCAGCCGGTCCTTCGGCGCCAGCTTCCAGCCCTCGGGCATGATCGCGATCGCGCCAGCGTTCAGACTGGCCTTGGAGCCGTCGGCGATCGGCTGAACCCTCTTCTCGTATTTGAGAGGGAGCTCGATGAGGGTCTTGAAGATCGTGTCGGGGAGGACCTCGTGGGGCATCTTGACTTCGATGTACTTGCCCTGGAGATGGCAATTGGCGCAGGCGATCTTGCCGGTTGCCTCCCGGGGGTTCGGGTAGTTCTGCTGCGCGAAGATCGGGTAGGCAGCCGCAGGCGCCGCCGCGGCGCTGACGGCGACCATTGTGGCAGCGGCACTGGCTGCCACCTGCTTCGCGATGGCCTCGGTGTCGGCCCCCCCGGCGCGACAGGCGACCACCGCCCGCGCACGGGGGCGGCGGCGCTCGGCGCGCGCCGCGGCGCCGGCCGCGACGGCGCACGCGCCGGCCGCCGCGAGAACGCCGCTGGCGCCGAGGCCAGCAGGCTGCTCGGGCGATGCCGCCTCCGGCGCCAGGAAGCGCTGACCAGTCGCGGCGCTGCTCACGACGCCCCCGCTGGGCGCGGGGCCCACAAAGGCCGAGGCCGCCGCGAGGCCGGTGCTCATGCAGGCGGTGCGGAGCATCGCTGACGGATGAGTCCGCAGGAGGGCGCACCGCAGATGACACAGGCCTGACACCCTCGGTCGTAGCTCGAGCCACGGTGCAGGATGATGGGGATGGAGGAGAGCACGAAGGCACCTTCCATCCGCATAACTGATGCAAATCCCCAGACCATGAAACGTTAAGAAATCTCAGGCAAGAGCCAGGTGTTGAGAACCACCGGCCTTCCATACATGTAGCTCAGTGCTGGTGCAAAGGCGCAACCGTGCGACAACTAGATGTTGAAAACGACACGCCACCATGTGTCCAACTGTTCCCACGCTGGGCTCAAAGATGTGAAGGCCGCCGAACCTTTTCGGGGTCAAAGAAAGCGAGATTGCTTATCATCCTTGCCTTTTCTGCCCTCCTCGCCAAGCGCCCCGACAGCAAGATCCCGCGGCCCGACGTGCTCGGCCCCATGTTGCCAGGGTCAAATTTCCCGTCCTGATGCAACCAACATGCGGTGCATCCGATTTCCTCCATGGTTGGGGGCGTGATGCTTCCCGCCCGTTGAAACTACTGTGTGTGTTTGTGCGGTGCGCGTAGTGTGTATGTGTGTGTGTGTTGCCAGCATATGCGTGTGTATGTGCCTGCGAAAATGGCGTGCGTGTGTGGGTGTGGTGTGTGTATGTCTGTTTGTGTGGTGTGTGTATGTGTGCGTGTGTGTGTGTGCGTGTGTGTGCGCGCAATGTCTGCGAGCGTGCGCGTGCGTGTCTGTCGGCGAAGAGTCGCCGCCCAATCTGGGGGGCACCCCAAGCGACCCGGATCGGCGGCACTGTCCGAAGGCCATTACAATATATATATATATATATATATATAGCATTGAATACGTTGAATCATAATGCCGCAATACATAGTTTGCACCATACGCATATGGTCACGTGGTGCCGCACATTTCCTAGACCGAGAATGTCAGAACCAACTCTTTGGGGACCACACTGGCACACATGATTTGTACAGCATTCCGCTGCGTTGCATTGAGTTGCGTTGAGATGCTGTGCATTTTGATATGCCGCATTGCACTTGTAAGAAGAACCCTAGGTGAGGTCGCACCCTGATTGCTTTTGTTCACCAACCCTGGGTCTGAGGGAAGGGGGGTAGCAGCAGCAGCAGCAGCAGGAGCAGGAGGCTCGTGTTGACATCGGCTAGCAACTCGCTAGACACGGTTCACGCGGGGATCAGAAAATCGCCGGGTACTAAATGCGCAGAGGACACCTGTACACCACTACCATGCCTGGCCATGGCCAGCCTAGGCCCTGGCTTGGTGTGCACGCCCGCCTGGCCAAGGCCTGGGAAGGAATGTACGCCTGGGGCCCAGGATGACACTGGCCAAGACACCAATGGTGACGCGATGGTGCATAGGTGCCCTGTGCGGACTAAAAATCCGGCCGCCGCAAGAATTCGCCGGCCCAACGGGCCAGAGGCGTGCTAAGAACTCCGGTAACTACTTAACAATATTTCTAGTTCGCGCGCGCGGGGCCGCCCCTGGGGGTCCCCCGGCGAAAAGTACCCCGACCGCAGCCCGGGAAGGTCCCGGGAAGGTCCCGGGAAGGTCTACTCAGAGATGGTTTTCCTCCTGGGTACGGCCCCTCAGGCCCCCCAGAGCGCGCCAAGAGGGCCCCAAGAGGCCCCCAAGACGGCCCAAGAGGCCCCCGAGACGCCCAAAGGACGCTCCAAGACGCCGAAGATGATCCCAAGACGGCCCAAGAAGCCGCCAAAACGCTCCAAGTGGCCTCCAAGAGGCCTCACAAGAGCGCCCCGAGAGGCCAAAATCAGCAATTTTACTATGGTTTTGGAAGGATTTTGGCCTTGTCGCATTTTCGGCTTTCCGATGCTCCAAGACGGCCCAAGAGGCCCCCAAGAGCGCACGAAGACGGCTCAAGAGGCCCCCAAGAAGGCCCCCAGAGAGCCCAAACGGGCCCCGATACGGCCCAAGAGACGCCCAAGACGGCCCAAGAGAGCCCCAAGACGGCCCCAAGAGGGGCCCAAGATGGGGACCACGAACCGAAACCTCAAGCCTTCCGCCCCAAGAGGGCCCCAGGAGGCCCCGGGAGGCCCCCAAGATGGCCCATGATGCCGCCAAGAGGCCCCCAAGAGACCCCAGGAGGCTCCAAGGAGGCTCAAAAGAGGCCCTACAAGGATTCAAAAATGTCTCCCAGGCGCCCACGAGCGGCCTCTCACAGACCGCAGGGCCTCCCAAAGAAGCATCTGGACGACGGCCCTGTTTGGCCCCAAGAGCGCCGCAAGATGCCATCGAGAGGCTTCCTCCTCCGCCCTTTTCTCTTCCTCCTCCTCCTCCTCATATTTATCTTCATCCTCCTCCGTTCCTTCTCATCATCTTCTCCTCCTCCCCTCCCCCTCCCCATCCTCATCTTCCTCCTTCCGGCGGCGCCGAAATGGCCCCGAGCCCGCGACGAAGCAGTAGCGATCATGCAATACGGGCCGGCGGAGTGAGCGAAGCGATTGAATCAACGCCAGATCAACCTGAACCTCGTCGCCCAGAAAGAGGCTGGACGACGAGGCCAGTCCGTCGAGAGAGAGGGAGCTGCAGCCTGTGCGGGGCAGGGTGCGCGGGAGGTGGAGGAGGTGGTGGAGTAGGAGGATCTGGAGGATGCTGAGGCGCAGGGGGACGACGACGACAACGACGAGGGACGAGGAGCAGAGAAAGGTAAGGAAGGGCAGGGAGGGGAGCAGGAGGGAGGGAGCGAGGGAGGTGGAGGAGGGGGGAACGGCAGGGGGGATTCAGCAGAGGGGAGAGAGAAAGGGATAGAGGGATGAGGGTCATGGAAATGGCGAGGAACCGCAGCTGAAAGAAGTCAAACGCAGGCAAGGAGATGAGGAGGGGCGGCGCATGCGCTGGTGCTCAGAAGCCCTCCGCAAGCTGCACCTTCTCGAACTGCTTCTTCTTGAGCACGAACACCAGCTGCGCCAGGAAGATCGAGATGGAGAGGCCGCAGTACGCATACACGCGGTTCATGTCCTGCAGCGTGACCTCTTTGTCTTCCTGACCGAAGCCGCCCACGTTGGGGTTCGTGGTGATCTGCTCGTCCTTCTTCACGCTCTCGCCGACCTCGACCACGACCGTGGCCCCCTTGCCAATGAGCGAGTCCACCACCGTGCCGTCCGCCTTCGTGATGACCACCTTCTCGCCTGGGACGATCTCGGTCACGGTGCCCTCAGCCGCCGCGGTGTACATGTTGACGTTGCTGAGGTTGCCCTCCGGGTAGACCTGCCCGCGCCCCCGGTTGCCTCCGAAATAGAACTCGTACTTGTTGAACACGATCTCGGGGGTCTTGTTGGGGTCGGGGGCGAGGATGGGGAGCACCATCGTCTCGTAGATCTTCCCGGGCACCGGCCCCGCGACGACGATGTTGGGCTTGTCCTTGCTGTATGGCGACCAGGCGAGCCCCTTCATCTGCTTCTTCAGCGCCTTGGGCAGCCGGTCCTTCGGCGCCAGCTTCCAGCCCTCGGGCATGATCGCGATCGCGCCAGCGTTCAGACTGGCCTTGGAGCCGTCGGCGATCGGCTGGACCCTCTTCTCGTATTTGAGAGGGAGCTCGATGAGGGTCTTAAAGATCGTGTCGGGGAGGACCTCGTGGGGCATTTTGACTTCGATGTACTTGCCCTGGAGGTGGCAATTGGCGCAGGCGATCTTGCCGGTTGCCTCCCGGGGGTTCGGGTAGTTCTGCTGCGCGAAGATCGGGTAGGCAGACGCAGGTGCCGCCGCGGCGCTGACGGCGACCATCGTGGCAGCGGCACTGGCTGCCACCTGCTTCGCGAAGGCCTCGGTGTCGGGCTCCTCGGCGCGACAAGCGACCACCGCCCGCGCACGGGGGCGGCGGCGCTCGGCGCGCGCTGCGGCGCCGGCCGCGACGGCGCACGCGCCGGCCGCCGCGAGAACGCCGCTGGCGCCGAGGCCAGCAGGCTGCTCGGGCGATGCCGCCTCCGGCGCCAAGAAGCGCTGACCAGTCGCGGCGCTGCTCACGACGCCCCCGCTGGGCGCGGGGCCCACGAAGGCCGAGGCCGCCGCGAGGCCGGTGCTCATGCAGGCGGTGCGGAGCATCGCTGACGGATGAGTCCGCAGGAGGGCGCACCGCAGATGACACAGGCCTGACACTCTCGGTCGTACGGTGCTCGGGCACAGAGGGGGAAACGGGGGAGCGATTGGATGAGGAAAAACAAAAGAGGGGAGAGAGGCGAGGAGGGAGAAGACGGCGGAGAGAGGGGAGCGGGAAGGAAGAAGAGCGAGGGCAAAGGGAGGAGGGAGGAGGAGCGAGGAAAGACACAAGGACAAGGAGGCAGATCGCACGCTACCGAAGGAGAAGCACAAAGAGAGAGGCTCAGACGGTCAGCCACAAACCCCGACCCCGATCCCCACCCCACTGGAAATGGAGGGCAAATCGGGGCCTTCGGGTTAGGTTGGGGTGGTCTGGTGGACGGTGAAAAGTCTCATGTCAAGTGTACTGGATGGGGTGAGCTCGTGCCGAGTCCTCCCTGCGCTGAGTGCGTGCTCGATCGAACCCCGTCGGCTGGCGGGCTCTCCTCGCGCCAGGCCTCGACCTCCTTGCCCCGCCTCTCGCCTCCGGGGCAAGCCTGGGTCGCCACCACGAAGGCGTCGCGGCCCATCCCCTCCTCGCCATCCTTCCCTCTTCATCCTCCTCGGCCTTCTTCCTCTCTGTCATGTTTCCCCCCTCCTCCTCCTGCTGCTACCTCCTCTCCTCCCCATCCTCCCTCCCTCCTCCATCGCGTGCGTGCAAAAGGCGGGAGCGCCAGAAAGAGAGATGCTCGAAGCGCTCTTTCTGCGAACGCCCTCGACAAGACGCCTGGTAGAATCAGGACCAGACTGGTGTAGCAAGAGGGGGACGCCAACCTCGGGGGCGGCCAATTGGAGGGCGTTCAGGAGGGGGGGTGCAAATCATGGCTGGCGGCACGTGCGCGGCCCAAGGGGGGGCCAGGGACGCAATGAAGGAAGTAAGAGGAGGCGCCATAACATCTGAGGAAATATCATGGCCCACGCCATGATATCCCCCCCCTAATCTTCACCCCCCTCTTGGCCGCCTCCGACGACCATACACCGAACCCAAAACCTGGCAGGGGCGAGCCCAGGTCCTGGATCGGACTGATCTGCAGCACGGTGCCGTTGACGCTCTGTCGCCCCTGCTCGGAGGTGCTGTGCTGTTTCACTGGATTTTCTGCCGCTGTCTCCGCCTGGGGGAGGAGGGCTCTGATGGAAACAAGTTCGGCCCCTGTTGTACCACCCGCGCACCCAACTTCCTCAGCCCGACCTGATTTTGATGACGGCACCGTGGGCCCTGGTGGGGCCCCAAGAGCCTGCAGACCGTGACAAACTTCAGAGGGCCACCTTTCCTCCAGGACCCCTCGCCTCCATGCCGGCACGGTGGGGCCAGGGACGCAACGAAATCAGAAGAGGCGCCGTGAAATCTGGGGAAAGATCGTGGCCCCCGCCATGAGATCCACCCCCCCTGGTCACCACCCCCCTCTTTGCCGCCCCCGAGTACAGCGAGTGGGCCAAATGGCGCCCCCACCCGGGCTAGAAAAAAGACGAGTTGAAGGCCGGGTCCGCGAGGGGGGTCCTGGCGCTTAGTCCAGGAGGAGGAGGAGGAGGAGGAGGAGGAGGAGGAGGAGGAGGAGGAGGAGGGGGAGGAGGAGGAGGAGGAGGAGGAGGAGGAGGAGGAGGAGGAGGAGGAGGAGGAAAGGGAGGGGGGAGGAGGAGGCCGCCACGGTGCCGGGACGGCCTGCTGCCGCTCTGGCGCCCTGGGCGGCCGGCGCGCAGGGAGAGGCTGCCGGCCGGCGCCACCTCTGCGCCGGCGCGCAGGGGGGAGGGCCGCACGGCTGCAGCGTCGGCCCTCCGCAGGACGTGTTCGTCCCCTCTTAGAGGGAAGAGAACTATGCACATGCACCGATTCTGGCCAGGCCCATCCTGAGCCCAGGATCGGTGCATACGCCCTCCTACCTTGGCCAGGACGGCATATGCACCGATCCTGGGTCAAGGATGGGCCTTGCCAGGATCAGTGCATGTGCATAGTTCTCTTCGCCCGACCTCTGGGCCTCCAGGCGGCCTCCGCCGCGGGGGTCCGCTTGGGAAAACCAAGGCTCCCAGCTTCGCGCTTCGCGTTGCGCGAAGCGCGAAGTGCGAATGACTTCGCGCTCTCGCGCCGCCTCCCAGGGGAGAAGAGGAGGAAGAGGAGGAATCGGAGCCGAACCGCGAAGCGCGAATAACTTCGTGCCCTCGAGGGCGCAGTTGGTCAGGATGGGCCCCATGAGGAGTCCGGGGGGCCCATTTCGAGCGGGTTGAAATCTGGGCGGGAGAGACGCCGTTGTCTCAACTGGCTCTCCTCCGACATTATGCGCCAAGCCGATCCTGCCGAAACTGGGAGAGGGAGGAGAGAGCACGATGGAAACAGACGAATTCGAGAGCCGGCACCGAAGCTCTCTGGCGTCCCACGCCACAAAAGCTTAGAGAGCACAGTCAACCCGTATCATAAGGATGCGCGATAAGGATGCAAGGGCCTTGGAAGACCAGTTCGAAACTTTTCGAGCGGGGCGCAGCCAACAAAAGTGGCCAAGAATGGGCCGAGGAGGCAAGGATGCCCATCCTTCCCATGCGGGTCTACTGTACGCAAGATGCCGCTCAAACTATACGTCGATGCATCTCAAGGCACGCCTCCACGACTCATCGAGGCTGTGCACTTACGGCACGGCGCCGCCATGAAGCCGAGCCTCTGTTAAAGAATTCTTGAAAGACGGTGGCATGCGACGTACGGCATGGCACAGTGAACTGACTGGCGGAGCGGAAGCGGCTCCAAAACTCGACGGCCAGCCCGGGGGGAAGTGGGAGGGGGCGGGCCTTCTCAGAAGGCTCGGAAGTCCCCCAGCCCTCTTAGAAGCTTTGCAAGCCTTCCCCGGAGACGTAGAACACTTCTCAGACAGCCGGAGGGCTTCTGAGAAGCCCCGCCGCCTTCTGAGAAGGCCTTCTCCCTCTCGCGCTCCCCCCCTCGCTCGCCGCCGGAAAACGAGGGCAGAGGGGAGGGTGGGAGGGCGAGGAGCCACGGCAGCCGCAGCAAACGATGCCCTCGCTGCTGCGGCTGCTGCCGGTGGGAGGCGCGCGCCGAGCGCGGCCCAGACCTCTGAGAGGCGCCGGCTGCTCACGGCGCCGCTCTGCGGCGGCACTCACTCGGGCCCAGGCGGAAGCCCTCGAACGAGCGCTGGTC